AATAAACATTTATTATTATTATCAATGTTGAAAATAAAAAAAAATTAAAAAGCAGTGATTTAAAAAAATATATATATATATACATTTTTGTCATGATTCTTTGAAATATAGCTTAAAATAACTGCATTTATTTGAAACAGAAGTGATTTAGTGTTTACTGTCACTTTTGATTAATTTAATGCATCCTTGCTGAATAAAAGTATTCAGTTCTTGAAAAAAAAGTGTTCACTCAACATCTGAAAAAGAAGGCAAATGTTCAGAAACCATTAGTGGTTCCCAACCCCAGGCCAGTGTGTGCGAGTGTCCTCCAGCACACTGTTACAGGCTTCCTGTGACTTGTGCCTTTGTATTCCTGCAGTCGGGCCTTGTCGAACCAAACAATTACTAATTGTGACAGACACAAGCGCACACATACACGCACAACACCCTGACACTCGCAGTCCCATCCCTCTCTCTGTATCAGAGTCCATTTCTGGCTCTTGTGCCTGTGTCATGCTCGCTTTTTTCGCCATTATTTCTTTTTGATCGGCGGCGAGGGGCACCCTTATCACCGCGGTAACTGCCGGGGGATTTATTGGGGTGGGGGTAGCTGAGCAGCGGTTGCTGTGGGGACCTGAAAGGACGGCTTTCCCGTGGCGCATGCAGAAATGTCCTTTAAATCGCTCAAAGACTTGGGCGTCTCCGCGGAGAAAATAGGATCCTTCTGCAAGAGATGGATGAATCGAGCCCAGAGGTCTGTGTCTCTTCTCTTTACCGCCGACCTTTTCTTTTTATCGGTTCTTTAACTCTAGGCCTTGTTTTTTTTTTTTTTGAATAGAATGACAAATCACTTCATCGGTTTAAAGAGAAATTAGGCTTTGTGAATGACTGAGTGAGTTAGTTCTTTATGGCTTTTTTTCCACTTCTAATTTGTGATTGTGTAGTGCATCATGTTTATACACACACACACACACACACACACAGACACACACACACACAATACTGTCCATAGGAAACCATTTCTGAATAATCTATGTACAGGCCTCATGATGGATTGAGTTTATTTGTATGCTGAGTAATTGTTATAGTCACCATATTCTACACTTTTGTAACTTGACTTTAAGTTACAAAATGTTTTGTTATGTACATTAATAGTATAATGTTTAGGGATGTAATGGTGCACCACGAGCCGGTTGAAAAACGATACAAATATGTGACAATTCAAATCGGTTAAGATTTGTATGTAGCATCTTTGTTTGGATCATGATTAAAATACAGTGGTTGCCTCGAACTGAATGGAAAGAGGCAAAGCCTTAGTTTGTTTAGATGAAGAGATTTATTTTATTTGTGTTATTTATTTATTTGATTTGGGGTTTGTTTTAAACTTTCATATTTCAGTTTCACAAAGAAATGGTCAGCATTTTGTCCAAGCAATAATAAAAGGACATCTTTTAATTTGTAATTGATCTTAAATCTCATTTTAAATCTCAAAGTGAGAAAATAGTATCGTGAAATCAGTATCGTATAAATATATCGTATCATATTGCATCTTGCGTTAAGTGAATTGTTACATCCATAATAATGGTAGGTTTATACATTGTTTCTTAAAGGGGTCCTATTATGCTTTTTAGTTAGTCTGTAATGTTGCTGTTTGAGCATAAAAAAGATCTGCAAAGTTACAAAGCTCAAAGTCCTCTTCAAAGGGAGATATTTTATTTAACAGAAATCACTTTTCAAAAACTACAACAAACAACTCGTATATTTTATAAAATATCGTCATATTTTCCGGGATTTGTGATATCACAAATATCGACGAATGGGACGAGACCTGGTTGAGCTGCACTAGAGAAGGCAACGAGTGTTATCACGTGTGTTAACGGAGACACGTTAGCTTTCCCAAGACACACGAACTTAGAGTGGTTACAATCATCCGGGTTTAAATCGCGCTCAAATTGATTTGATTTTGACGCAATATTTACACTGAAGCTGGCAGGCGGCTATGGTAAGGGGAATGGCATTGCCCGACCAGGCGCCGAGTGCTGCCAATCACAACACACACTGGCCCAGCTAACCAATCACAGCATATTTCGTATTTCAGAAGGCGGGCCTTCATTTGATACAGGAACTATTTGAACCGTTCATGCCAGACTGGTGAGAGAGGTGTTGTAATAATGTAAAATATGTGAAAAATAATGTTTTTCGAACAACCTAGTATGAGAGCCTGTTCTAGTACACCCCCAAAACAAAATCAAGACTTTGTAAAATAGCATAATAAGACCCCTTTAAACTTTGTCAATGTCCACCCTCTTTCTGAGATTACTTGTGTTGCTTCAGTTGACCGGTGACTCTTTTTTGAACTTTACATATTTAATTGACTTGTATTTATTATTTATGAATTAAATGATCAATTTTAAATGTCTTTAGTCAGTTTGAAAAGGGATTAACATTTTACATTTTAAGTCTTTCATTCATATTTATTTATTTGTTTATACTTTTTGATTTTCATAACATATACTATATATATGTGTGTGTATATATATATATACATATATATATATATATATATATATATATATAGTACTGAGAAAATAAATAATTTCTCCTTTGTGCAGAGAATATTACTTAATTCATTTCAAAATGCACGTTTCGAAGGGAAGAAATTTGAGCGGTTATCTTGAAACAGGCGGAGAAGGCTTACTCACAGAATGTTTAGTGCGATAATTAGTCTCACGAGGAAATGATTATGCTTCTTCACTGAGTATAGAAGTATTTATTTATTTATTTTATTTATTTTCATATCAGTTGAAGGGCAACAGGCAGGTTGGCCATCGATCGGCAAAATAAAATAAAATTGAGTAGACACTCAGTGATTTTTGAGTTTGTTTAGGCTTGTTCACTCATTTTGTTATTGTAAGCTGGTTAAAAATGAAATGTGAGTGTGGGGGTCGATAACTCTCTCTCTCTCTCGACATGCTTTCATCTGGAACTGAAACAAGCGCCTGAAATTCCTCATGAACTCGTTGAACCAGCAGCATGGGCGTCTAGGGGTCACACGGATCTGTCTCGCATCCTGACTCAGCTCAGCCATTTTTATCATGTCATGATTTGTTTCATTCTGGTGTGAGTCACTCACAATTCTGCTTTCAATTCATGTTGAAGCTAGCATTTGTGAAACTGTTTTCAGTAAACTGCTTACAATGGAAGTCTATGGGGCAAATGTAATGGATAGTTTTAAAGCGAAAATGTTAAGCTTTTATTTGTGTTAAAGCTCTTTATTGATTTTCATTAATGCATTTCAGGTTTTTACATGAATCAAGTTGTTTCAGGAATAGCAAGTAACATTTTTGATGTTAAACTGTTCTATAACAGGTAGTGGTCGACCGATATATCGGCCGATATTTGGCATTTTTCAAATATCGGCATCGGCCGATACATTTTCTGCCTGGCCGATGTGTTCGAGGCGGGACTTTTATTTTGACGGCAAGCCGGACCTTTATTTTGACTGTGCTGAGAACGGCAGCGTCAGAGCACACAGTGCTCACATTCTCCCTCTTCATTGTTTGTTGTTGTCGTTTAACAGTTCTGCCTAATACAGATAGAAGTCTGTCTAATAATCAGATAGAACTGTTGAACAAATGAATTAAAAGGTATACAAAAAGTATTATAACGATTGCTTTTATATTATTAGTAACAGGAAGGCAGACATACTTTCTCGTTTGCCGTCAGCATTCAGCAAATACGCATATCATTTAAACAAACCTTTAAATGACTAATGAACATTTAATTTCACAAACCTTGCAGACTTAGTCGAATCCAGCTGTGAGATCTTGTGAAGTGTGCATTTGTATATTGCCTGATCGCGTGTGCTCTGCGTGACAGTCGATCCATGCGAATTGAATCCGGACAGGAGGAGAGTTCAGCTTCACTGGAGACGCGCGATCAACTTTAAACTCGTTATTTCAAACTATTCTGATTTATGCATTTGCGCACTATCATATTCATGTCATTTTTACTGCGTGCTGCATGTAAAATGAGTGTTACCTTGGCTTTAGTTGAAAAAAATATGATTCCCAATGCACACAAACTTCCCAGATTACTGAGTGCCCTGTTGGTTACAGTGTTTACTTTCTTTTTGTTTATATATTTTAAAATATTTCTTTATTTGTAAAAAATACTGTAATAGAATTATAGAATCAGGATGTTGTCATCTAAAGTATAAGTGTGTTTATTTTATACATATTTTATTTATTTTTAATATAATTCATTTTCAAATTATTTCAAGTTTCTCAAACATTAATTAAAATAAATAAAAATTATAATTAAAATAAAAAATATACTTATATATATCGGCTTTATATCGGCCACCCTGCTCTCTTAAGATATCGGCATCGGCTGTCAAATAACCAATATCGGTTGACCATTAATAACAGGGCAAATTCAGCTTTACATGGTCATGGCATGAGTTGACAAATTGTGTGTTGCACAGACAAGTTTAGTACGCAATTTTATCACAATAATCTCATGGTAACACAATTAATATTGTAAGTAAGTCTTACGGTGATATTTTCATCATAATCATGATGTGTATTTTTAGCATTTGCTCCACTTGCCCCATAGACTCCTATTTTAAATTTGCTGTAAACGTGCATTTTCTTTGCAAATGAAAGTTTCTGAGCAAATGAAAGTTATTTTATATGGTAATAGAGCTCACTGAATCTGGAACAGAGTCTGAATTGTACCTGCTCAGGACTATAAACACAACATCAACACACACACACACAAGACACAGCACACACGCTGAGTGTAATAACACTGTTGTGATTTTAATCAGGGTTTGTGTCTCTGTGTCTTCCTGCTTTAATGAGGAGCAGTTGTCGATCTGTCCGGCCCAAATTTGCTCTCGCAGTGAGCTTGGAGACCAACCTCTCTCACTCCCCATCTTCCTTTACATCTTCCAGTGTTCTCAGACAACGATATACACCGTTGACTCTTCCTAACACTCACTTTCTGTCTCTCTGCAGTAACGGTACAGCTGGGAAGATGAACGGCGCCCTGGAACACTCGGACCAGCCTGAGCCGGATGCCATTAAGATGTTTGTGGGTCAGATCCCTCGCTCCTGGTCCGAGAAAGAGTTAAAGGAGCTTTTTGAGCCATACGGAGCCGTCTACCAGATCAACATTCTGCGAGATCGTAGTCAGAACCCACCACAGAGCAAAGGTAGTATGCGTTTCCTGACTTTTGACATCACACACGCCATCGCAGCAGCAGGGTGTTGTGCCGCGTCGTGTAAACCTGCTCAAATGTGTAATGTGTTAGCTTGAGCCTCTGACTTCCTGTTGTGCATCTTCTTTTCCTGTCTGCCTGTTTCTGTCTTGCATCCTCCATCCATATCTTTCTTTTTCTCCATTTCTCAAAAGCTATGTTTTAACCCTATTTAGGCATTGCTAGAATGCATCGCAACGGGCTCATTTAAAACTATCGCTAAAGATGGCGGACAGAATTTGAAAAAAAAATGCTTGTAAATATTCCATTTAGTACATATTTTAAATAAAAACCGACAATTTGACCCAGTATTTGCGATGTTTATATCTTTATAGTATCTAAATGGGAGTCTTCCAAGCTGTTTGCGTGCTTCGTTGCTGTGTCCTTCTGAAAGTTTCTACTTATAAACTCGAATTATTTTAATTGGATGCGTTGGTCAGTTCTATATTTGTTTCTCGGTTTATCATGTACGAACAAACTTTTTTTCAAACTGCAGTACAACACAATTAAGCACAAAAGATTCAAACAGCACATTTTTGAGTTTAAATACATGAAACGTAAGGCAGTGGAACAGGGTTGCCAGGTTATCACAAGAAAACCTGCCCAATTGCTACTCAAAACTAGCCCAAACGCGTTTTGGGGGGTCCCCCGTTAAAAAACGCGTTCCGGGGAGTAAAATAAACTTTTTTTTGGTGGGGTTTCCTGATAAAATTACCATTCCAGGGGTTAAATATCACGTTATTGGGGCCATTTCAACCCGCGGCAACGGTGTTAAAGTAGCCCAAATCCACGGTAAAACAGCGGACTTGGCAACATTAAGGCCTTTCGCACCGCAGGAACCTTTTCATAGTACCAGAACTAATTGTGGAACTACCCACTTTTTGCCGCTTTCGCACCGCCGGAACTGGGTGCTTTTTTATTACCGGACTGCCTTTTTCGAGAACCAAATTAGCTCCTACTCCGGAGCAGGGTCTAACCAGCACAACTGGTACTACCCGCGTAAGTAGACACTGATTGGCCAAACGCGTATACGAAAAACCCCTCCCCCGCCATGATTTAAAACGCTGTGTAAACATACTGTAAACATTGTGTCAACTTATTTCGCAAGTATGGAGAACAGCGATAGATGGACGGACGCGGAAGTGCAGGCACTTGTATCAAATGTAGCACTGCCAGTTGTCGTTGGAGATTCTTAGTCCTTCTTCCTGTTCTTTCAATCGCTTTACATAGCCTATACGTCGACATTTCATGTCCATTATTGTGAAACCCGCGAGACAACAAAAACACCGCTCCGATCACAGCGTCCTCTATCCTCCTGTTGTTAACGTTGTTCTTTGTTTCCGTTGTTGAACGCCGCGCACAAATGACGTCACTGTGTGTCGACCGTCTTACGTACACTGTCCGTGCAAATGCAACCCTTTAAATGGTACTGGGAAATAGTTCGCGCAAAATCGTCCCAGTACTTTAGTACTGTACATTTAGTTCTGGAACTAAAGCGGTGCGAAAGGCCCTATTGCAGTGTAATTAAAAAAAGCTAGGTCTTGAGAGTCGTTTGGGCAATAACCTGCAACAGGACAGCATAACGATCAAAGATTAACATGCTTAGCATGTTAACAGAAAAATAATGGAAAGGCAGTAGAATTCACAAACCTTATGTGTTAATGGCCTCTATTTGTGTAATTAATAGTGTATTATATTGCAAATGTGCTGCTACAGAGAATGATGGGTAATGTAGCTTGGTCGCACTATCCTGAAACCAGCCAAAGTACGTGCTTTATTCATTAAACAGTTCATTAAATGCATGCAAATTATCAACAATAACAATTGAAATGGTGCGTCCACCTCTAATTTACACACCCTCAACTCAGAAAGTCTGAACTTAAGAGTTTCAGACTCATAATTACGGCATTGTGGTGGCATTCATGTCCGCTCATCTCATAAATATCATCCTTTCAGCACGACTTGAATGCAGTAATGTTCCAAATCAGTCATTTATGTGGTTTCGTTTTGGTTCCGATGCCGCCTATGTAGGCGGTAGACAGCAAGGTAGCTCATGGGTTTCAGAATAGCTATAAAGCGTAGGCATTAACCTCGGTTCTGCGGAGTTGTTAACACTCAGACAGGAAGATGGCATATACACGTTCACAGTGACGCCCATCCTCTCACTCTTATGGAGGATGAGTCAGGGCCGAGTGGGAGAGCGTTACTCAAGTCCTATACTCTCTCTCTCTCGTGCACACACAGGCATTGCAACGGGTATCTCCGGCAGAGCCGAGGTGTGTGATTGGCTTTCAGACGGGGTGATGAGTGCTCCCGCCCATCCTCTCACTATTATGGAGGATGAGTCAGGGCCGAGTGGGAGAGCGTTACTCAAGTCCTATACTCTCTCTCTCTCGTGCACAGACAGGCATTGCAACGGGTATCTCCGGCAGAGCCGAGGTGTGTGATTGGCTTTCAGACGGGGTGATGAGTGCTCCTGTAGTTCATTTAGCTGCAGTTAGAGTGCCTCTCTCAGGTCCTGCTTCATCAAGGCCTCTGACACAGCCGTGGGGCCGTAATGGCCGCCGCTAGCCTTCAGCTTCACTCTAACCCATTTTCATTTAGGAAAAGGTCATCTGCGCGCATCTTCGGCTGTTAAATTAGACGATATTGAAAGATTTCTCCACCAACAAAGTCGCAAGGTGAGCGTTAACTTCCCTGTCTTTCCCTGTGGCGTCCGCCAATTAGAACTGATTTTCTCTAAGAAGTATTTGGTTTTCCTTTTTTTTCTCTCCCATAAGGACAGTTTTCCACCTTTTAAAATTACCAATTAATGGGCAGATTATATTAAGAAAAGTGTGCCAGTTAACAGGACTCAACTTGAAGTGTCCTAAAGCAACATATACACACAGTATTAGATTAACCCGAGATCTTACTCAAGTTCGCCCACACTTTAGTTTCCGTGACTTTCCGCTGACGCAACCGACTAGTTTAATACATAACCTGCCCACAAGCAAACATGACACATTGCAGTCTTTATTTAGTTTTCAAGAGTTTTACACTTATTTATGGGAACTAACTTCAACAACTGAAGTCACAAATTGTATTTATTTGTTTAAATATTTAACAAATAAAATTCATTGCATGTATCATTTCACACATTATGTGTAATATTAATATAAAGGAAGCAAATAAAAATTAAATAATATATATATATTTTTTTTTGCCTATTGCACTGTCCGTCAAGTGTTGCATCTCACCCACAAGCCAACGCTGTACTTTCTTTCATTTAAATTGCACTTATTTTTGGGAACTCACTGAACGTCTGCATTTATTTATTTATTACAAATAAAATTTGTTGCACACAACAATTTACACATCATATATAATATTTTTATAAATTAAACAAATAATAATTAAATATTTATTCCAATATACTAAATATTTAAAATATTTAGAATATATTAAATATGTTTTTATTAAACACAGTTTTTTTTAAGTGGATGGAGCTTTACTTTTGTGTGCCGTACTGTCCATCAAGTGTTGCATCGCATTATGCTGCACCACAGCAGTGTAGAAAACTGGATTATAATGGAAGCAATCTAGTTTTGCATCTTGAGTTGTTGTTTTATTAGCTTCACGCAGTGAGGACAATATTCCACACCCTTGGTTACTGGCGTTAGTGCTTCATGGTTTAAGACTTGCAGGTTTAAGGTGACAGTGTGATGTTCTGTCAATCCAGATACATCCTTTTTTTGGTGAAAATGTACCAGTCTATTACAGATTGGGCACTGGAACCCAGCCGAAAAGTACTCACACTCTCACACATCCCAGCAAGGGTGTGTAACTGTGCTGAGTTGCGGTCTCAGTGGTTTAATCTACGATTCAGCATGGGACGTCACATCACATAATTCGTTGAATTAAAAAAAAAATCCACATTCGAATGCAAAAACGTTGCATTAGAATTTAAGGTCTGCGTCAGCCATCAGGCAGCCTTATCAGTGGCGCACGAGATGCGATGACGATGTATGTGTCATTGATAGCATTTGAATGCTGTTGTTAGCCTATCCAGTTGAACCCACTAGATGCGGCGCTGCTACGTTGTTCATTCAATATATTGCGGAAAACGATAGCATCAGTGTGGAGAAGATGTTGTTTACGTGATAACTGAAACCAAGCTGTTCACACAGAACGCATATTTATCACATTTTCTAGAGGGACGTCGATCACCGTTGCACTCGCGTCTCGCAGAGAGCGGCATGTTTAGAAAGCCATGTAAAATTAATGCAAGTTCAACTTTTAAAAAACATGTCTGAAGACGTTATGGTGTTTTTCCCCATCCCACTGTATCTCATGTTTTTAAATGAAGAATGTAGCCTACTCTTTGTGATTGGTTTTCGGTCCTTTGTATTAAACTATACATACATGCATGTGCTGTTTTTTTTCTTCTAATTGTTTAAGCAACTTTATTAATTATACTGTATATGGTTTATAAACATTATTTTAAACATTATGGACTTTTTTTCAAAGATAGTCGTGTTATTTTATTACGCTTTGAAGAAACGTGCATAATATTTTGCTCGATGCGCCCTCTTGTGGCCTCAGGAGAGAAGCCAACAGCTTTTTTCCCCCTAACTGAAATTATACCTTTTAAATTCTAATATAATTCGAATTTTGATAATATTTAAGTAGAAAATTCGAATTTAGTTTTTCAGTCATTTTTAAAAGCCCTAGTGTGTGTGTGTGTGTGTGTGCGCGTGAGAACGGAGGCATAGAATATAAATGCACCCAGAGGTGAACAGCAGGAATTGTTTATCAGAGCCGGGCTGCAATTTAGAACGGTCTGCACACACGCACACACATAGAAACAGACTGTCCCTTGTTGATTGAGTGATGCGAGAGCGGTCCAGGGCTAAATGGCCCTGAGCAGCTGGGGTTCTTTAGTAAAGATGTATTCCTGTCTGCCTTTGAAGTCC